TTCTAGAGTTGGAAGAAACCTCCAAGGCCATCAGGTCCAACCTTTTTCTGCATGCAGGGACACATAATCAAAGCTCCATGGGCAGATGGCCATGCAGCCTGTTTTAATGATCTAGACATGATGTAATGTGGTTAGTCTTCCTCTTTTTGTGTGTGTTAGTACTCTCCAACTGTCACAATTTCACGGGAACAGTCTCAATTGTCTGCTGTCCCACTTTCCCATCTGGTTTTTAAATATCCCAGTTTCTCTCTTCCTCCCCCTTTGTCCTCAGTTTGCTGCAAACTAAGTTCAATATACAAAAATCTTTGCACTCTGTTCACTCAGCTGTTGGAGGAGAGGATGAAACTGTGCATTTCCCAGTAGACTCAGGCAAAAGTAAACTGGTGCAGCCAGGCCCGTAGCCAGGATTTCGATTCGGGGGGGGGGCTGAGTTTGTTTTGGGGGGGGAGCTGAGTCTGAGTGAAAGAGGGTCTACCCTAGCAAACCTTTTGTATCGTTACCCCAATACCCCCATGCATATGGGATATATTGAGCATGGTGATCAGATCATGATATGAATAAACATAACAGTTTAAGTAATGCACCAGTAAGGCCTTTTCGCGAACCACCATGAGAATTTCGGGGGGAGGGGGCTGAAGCCCCCCAAGCCCCCCCCCCAGCTACATGCCTGGGTGCAGCCTTTCCTAGCTTGTGTGTTCTTCCTCTTCAATAACCTTTATTATTTTTGATATATTTTGATGTATTCCTGCATGTCAGAATAGTTGACTGAGTAGCAGCCGTTCTCTAAGATTCTAATGTACAACCAATAAAGTTCATGCTTTTGCAGCAATGGAAATCAATCTTGGGGTGATCTAGACACATTTCTCTGCTGCTGCAGCAAACAAGCTTGTTCCATCTCCTGTGTAAGATCCTTTAAGAATTAAGACCTCTAAAGCAATTTGGATATAAGTCCAAATACTGCTGCATAGTTTAAGACAGGCCTGGGCAAAGTTTGGCCCTCTCTCCAGGTGTTTAAGGAATTGTGGGAGTTGAAGTCCAAAACACCTGGAGGGAGGGCCAAAGTTTGCCCAGGCCTGGTTAAGAGGTACAGCATCTGATACTTCTTATTAGATTGTTGAATTCCATTAAAAATGCACACAGACATACCCCTTGAGCCTAATGTCTGCCAATTCCTGGAGATCCCATCTGTCAGTGGCATCAGCAGCACAGCAAGGCAGGAACAGATCAGCGAAAGCCACCTTAAGCTATAAACTACTTTATTTTACAGCTATATACATTAGAAGCTACTTAACACTCAGCACATCATAAACTTGCTTCTTTACTGTCTGATCGTAACATTGCGAGCACACTAACTGTTATCAGTACTAGTCCACACCTCCTGCATTCCAGAGTGACGTATGACATATGACGCAGGACCCGAGTCCATTAGCTCTATACACTTGATTTATGACCTCTCTAGGAATGTCGTTCCCTATACGCCGCGTGTATTCCTACAGGAATACACGCAGCATATAGCTATTACATTTTAAACATACATACATACTTTGAAATCTACATTACAAATTGAAAACAGCTCCAACACCATCTTCAATAACCTTTACTATTTTTGATATATTATTTGGCCACACATGTCCCAGTTTCCATGTTTGTAATGTTGGATGTTGTGTTAGTATGGTGTGTTGTATTGTGTTTGTATATGGGAGCTATATTAAGAACCACTACTGATACAACATCTATGTTTGAAAGTCATCAAAGGGTGCATCTCAACTGCAGAATTAATGCAGTTTGACACCATTTTAACTACCACGGCTCAATGCTTTGGAATCCTGAGATTCGTAGTTTGATGAGGCGCCAACCCTCTTTGGCAGATAAGGTTTAAGTCCTTGCAAAACCACAACTCCTATGATTATATAGCTCTGGACCATGGCAGTCGAGTTTGTATCAAATTGCATTAATTTTATAGTGTAGATTCATCCTGAGTTAATTGTCTATACATTCAGGACATGACAGCTCAGTTTGCCTGCAGTCAAGAAAATAATGCTGCTCAGGTTGTCAGAGGTTGATCCAAAGCCATAATTCGAAGGTATGCTTCATAGGAACTAATCCTATCTAGGAAACAACAGCAGTAGGGCTGGTTAAATAAGGAAACTAGTCACCAACTGTGAAGTGAAAAATTGTGCGCAATTTTGAAAGCTGATCTAGTTTAGAGTGACAATAAACCAATTACGTCTTCATGTAACATAAGACCAGGCATTTGACTAATACTATATATTTTTCACAGCTGCTGTTGCTCCATAAAACTGATTCTGTAATTTTCATTTTACAGAAATGATTACAAAGCAAAGGTGAAGAACAGCGTGTCAAAAGCACTCCTGCAGATTATGTCTCAAGCACAAAAGCAGAGCTTGTAAAGTAGGGAAATCCTGCCATTTTCTTGGGGCTGCCCAGCCAGGTAGGTCTCGGCAAGTGATCCTTCATGTTGCTGTATCTTGTGCAAAATGGCAAACCCAAAGAGGTATCTTTTGGATGTGCATTTTGGATGTGCACCGGGACTGTGGCACACCTGTCTGAATGTCAGCTGCATTAAGATCACTTCTGACCATAAGGTCATGAGTTCGAAGCCAGCCTGGGTCGGAGTGAGCTTCCGACCAATTGTGTAGCTTGTTGTCGACCTTTGCAACCCGAAAGACAGTTGCATCTGTCAAGTAGGAAAATTAGGTACCACCTATGTGTGGAGAGGCTAATTTAACTAATTTACGGGGCCATAAAAAAGATTCCAGCAAAAGCATGCGGGGAATGCAGAAGTACTTCATCAGTGTCGCAGATGGACGATGAAAGCTACAGCTCCCCTGGCGGCCAGAAAAGTTAAATTGCCTCTGACTGTCTGTCTATATGTGTTGTGTGTCTTTGGCATTGAATGTTTGCCATATATGTGTACATTGTAATCTGCCCTGAGTCCCCTGCGGGGTGAGAAGGGCGGAATATAAATACTGTAAATAAATAATAAATAATTGGTAGAATTAGTGCAGTGGGATGTAGGTTTTTCGGGCTATATGTTCTAGAAGCATTCTCTCCTGATGTTTCGCCTGCATCTATGGCAAGCATTCTCAGAGGTTGTGGGGTCTGTTTCCAACAGATTAATGCACTTTAACATCCCTTGAATTGCTATGGCTCAATGCGACTGAATCCTGGAAGGTGTCGCTTGTTGAAGCATCCACACTTTCTTTGGCACACAAGACTAAAAACCTTATTAAACCTACAGCTGTGAGAATTCCATAGCATTGAGCCATGGCAGCTAAAGTTATGAGGAAACATGTTTAAATATTTGAAAGGATGTCCTATTGAAGATGGAGCAAGCTTGTTTTCTGCTGTTCCAGAGTTTGCAGTTTATTCATTCAGTCGTTTCCGACTCATGACCTCATGGACTAGCCTAGGCCAGAGCTCCCTGTCAGCCGTGGCCACCCCCAGCTCCTTCAAGATCAAGTCAGTCACTTCAAGGATATCATCCATCCACCTTACCCTTGTTTGGCCCCTCTTCCTTTTTCCTTCCCTTTTCCCCAGCATCAATATCTTCTCCAGGATTTCCTGTCTTCTCATTATGTGGCCAAAGTACTTCACCTTTGCCTCAAATATCCTTCCCTCCAGTGAGCAGTCGGGCTTTATTTCCTGGTGTATGGACCACTTTGATCTTCTTGCGGTCCAAGGCACTCTCAAAATTTCCTAACCCTAGCTCTAACATAGAATCCTAGAGTTTGAAGAGACCTCATGGGCCATCCAGTCCAACCCCCTGCCAAGAAGGAATATTGCATTCAATGCACACCCGACAGATGGCCATCCAGCCTCTGTTTAAAAGCTTCCAAAGAAGGAGCCTCCACCACACTCTGGGGCAGAGAGATCCACTGATGAACGGCTCTCACAGTCAGGAAGTTCTTCCTAATGTTCAGATGGAATCTCCTTTCTTGTATTCTGAAGCCATTGTTCTGCATCCTAGTGTCCAGGGCAGCAGAAAATAAGCTTGCTCCCTCCTTCCTATTACTTCCCCTCACGTATTATACATGGCTATGTCTCCTCTCAGCCTTCTCTTCTTCAGGCTAAACATGCCCAGCTCTTTAAGCCGCTCCTCATAGGGCTTGTTCTCCAGGCCCTTGATCATTTTAGTCACCCTCCTCTGGACACATTCCAGCTTGCCAACACCCCCCTTCAATTGTGGTGCCTAGAACTGGACACAATATTCCAGATGTGGTCTAACCCAGGCAGAATAGAGGGATAGCATGACTTCCCTGGGTCTAGACACTATGCTCCTATTGATGTAGGCCAAAATCCCATTGGCCGCATCACATTGTTGGCTCATGTTTAACTTGTTGTCTACAAGGACTCAAAGATCTTTTTCATACGTACTGCCCTCGAGCCATGTGCCCCTCATTCTGTTTCTTTGCATAACCCAACACTACAGCTCATAAGCGCCGCTCTTCCTTCGCTCAGACATCCTCATGGTCCAGCTCTTGCATCCATACGTTATTAAGGGAATGCCATTGCTTTGACTATGCGGATCTTCGTTGCCAGTGTGATGTCTCTACTCTAGACTATTTTATCGAGATTGGCCATTGCTCTCCTCCCAAGAAGGAAATGTCTTCTGATTTGCTGGCTGCAGTCTGCATCTACAGTTATCTTTGCACCTAGAAATACAAAATCTGTCACTGTCTCCACATTTTCTCCTTCTATTTTCCAGTTATCCATCAGTCTGGTTGCCAGAATCTTGGTTTTTCTTATGTTTATCTGCACCCAGCTTTTGCACTTTTTTCTTTCACTTTAGTTAGAAGGCTCCTCAGCTCCTCGCTTTCAGCCATCAAAGCAGCATCATCTGCATATCTAAATTCGTTACTCAGTTAGTATGGCTGAACCTGTTTCATAACTAAGGAAAAGGCTGACAAAAGGCTACTGAACTCCTTGGCAGATTTGTAAACAATAGCAGGCCATAGACCAAACAAGAAGACAAGCACTTTGCTTTTCCAAAAGGATTATTTTATTTTACAAACTTTTCCCCAAAGAATCAACTATACAGTCAACTCCCTGTCCCTTTGAGGCAACTTCTGCCCCAACTTTCAACCCTGGCGGCTAACTTTGCCCCCAAAACTCCCCACGCACCAGACGTCACTTTCTGCAACCTTCCCACCTCTACGGTGCCAGGTTTGCACAGCATGGGAGCCATCCACCAGCGACACAGGACATGGGGAAGAACTCTACAATCAGCATTGTAGTGTTAAAACTTGCTTCTCAAAGGCCCAGGCAGTGGAGAAGGACAAATTGGAGCTCGCAGCTTTCCAAGGGTGTCTTGAAACAATCCACTTTCCTGATATGTACTTGCGGGCACTGTTAACCTCCCACTGAGCCTCTAAGGCACAGAAAGGTTTGGATGATTCAAGAGGCACCTTTGCCTTAGAATTAAAGTTTAGGACTGTGAATGGTTCTCAGCCTTTTGAAAACACCGCTGCGTCTAAGTATAACCAGTATCAAGTGGGAGAAAAGGGTCAGTGGCCCCAAAGATAGACCAATGATAGTGATCACAATGGATGTGAATGAAAAGCTTAAGAGGTGTCTTGAGGAGGAACCTAGCAAGGGAAAAACCCTATCCTTTTGCAAGGAGGAGAAAAGAGTCTTGAGGATGGAAATATTATATCGTCCTTCTCGAAGCGGATTCAATGGGCGACTGCATAAAGGGTGGAGGCCTCGGTTGAAGAGGGAGAGAAGCAAGTTCTACACACTCCGAGGAGAGAAAGCGACAGAGCATGTATGCACGAGCACAAAGCAGGCGTGTGTACAGTCACGCACCACTGAAATGAACACAAGACTCGGCACATCCACATGCGGTTAACTATGGTAGGATGCAGGACTTCGGTGCTTTGCCCCATTCCCTCCCTGTCCCCCCCCTCTACCCACCCCAAAAAAATCTTCACACTATTTCCCTCCCTGAAATATAAAAAGGTTATAAACAAGTAAAGCAGGTGGTGATGTAAGGCTTGTGTTTTTTCAGCTTCAGCTTCCGCATCCTGAAGGCAGAAATGCCCCTAAATAGCGATGCTAAAAGCCGATATGTTGTGAACTCCACTGCATTCCCAAAAAAAATAAAGATTCTGAGATTTATTAAAGCTAGAGAAACTCTGTAGCAAGCTAGGCAGTTGCTAAATAGAGGTCCCTTTCTAGGTGCCTACAAAGGAGGAGGAAGAAGAAAGGTATATTGAAATTCCCCCAACCCAACTTCGATATCTTAATAGAGACCAGATCTTTCCAAAGCTTACAATTGCAAAGGAAACAGGAGGAGTCATAAAATAGATGAAAGCTAGGAAATTATTTGGAACAGGAGGCGGAGCACCATTCGGCACTCAAGCTTCCCTGTACAGCTAGTACGTCTTGGAACTACTCCTCCCATATTGCATAAAGCAATCCAATTCTGCCTGCACATGAGGTGGGGCGAGGAAGAGAATGAGAGTGCAAGCCTTTGGTGCCAAAAGGGCCGTTCGGGTCAAGGTTACAGAATCCCTTTCCTGACAGGAAGGAGGAGAGCAAGGTGCTCCATCTGGACACCTTTAGTGTAAAATATATACGTGTACAAAATACGGTGTGTTCACTTTATTGGACCTGAAGAATCCAGCAGCAAAATAATGTCTATGTATGATGTATGGGTCTCTCTCTTCAGAGTGGGACCTGGGTCCCCCACCCCCACCCCTCTTTATTTCTTTTTTTTTTTTCCTTGCAATGTTGGGAAGAGCAAACGAAGGGGCTCAGGCAGTCAAGCGCCACTGTGCCGTGGACTTAGAAAGGTGCGTTGTCCTGGGAGGGCTTCTCGGCAGAGGCCGGTGGGGAGTGGAGCTCGTCACCGCCGTTGTCCCTGCCCACCACTTTCGACTGCGCAGAAAGGAAAGAAGATGGGAAGAGGAACACACAGATTAAGAGGAGAACCCATTTGGCACACTCACAAGAACATCAAGCAAAAGTGAAGTCAGATTTCATTTTATTTTCCCTCTCCCTCCAAATCTCTTTTGAAAGGCAGTGCATGGTGAGATGAAAGATCCTTCTGACCCGTTCATGAAACAACGGTTCTTTCTTCTATATTAGCGTAGAGCTCAAGTGGCCTGGCACCAACTGATGCACAGTAAGAAGCTCTCAGCTACAAGTGGGAATTATGCCTTCCAGATGCTATTGTACTGCAAAATCCACAGCCAGCAAAGCCACTGGTGAGGAATTCTAGGAGTTGTGGTTAAAGACCTCAGGGGTTCCACTTTGCTCACTTCTATTCCAAAAAACATGCAGGACCGACAACATGGATGAGAACTGTGTGATCCTCAAGATCAAAGCTTTCCAAACATTGGTGATACATGTTTTAGACATGCATTATTTCATGACACTGTAATTAAATTGTTTTGTGGGACTTGGGTGGTTTTAGGTATTTTTGTTCTTTGTCCAGCACCTTATGGCATTGAATGTTTGCCGATTTGTTGTAAACTGCCCTGAATCCCTATGGGGAAATAGGGTGGGATATAAGCAAAGTATTATTATTATTATTATTATTATTATTATTATTTGAAACACAATAAGATTAGTACACACAGCAAACAAGATCACTCTGCTGGCTGGTGTATTGGATCACACGTCGGACACTTCCCATGTGATGTAAGGCGAATAATGCGTGCAGATCCCAGTAGGGTGGCCTTTTGCAGCTGACAGATGATAATTTTGTCAGTGCTGATTGTGTTTAAATGCAGCCCAAGGTCTTTAGGCACTGCACACAGTGTGCCAATCACCACTGGGACCACCTTGACTGTCTTGTGTCAGAGTCTTTGAAGTTCGATCTTTAAATCCTCATATAGTGTAAGCTTTTCCAGTTGTTTCTCTTCAATCCTGCTGTTGCCTGAGATTGCAACATCGATGATCCATATTTGGTTTTTTAATATGATCGTGAGGTCAGGAGTATTGTGCTCCAAAACTCTGTCAGTCTGAATTCAGAAGTCCCAGAATAGTTTGATTATTATTATTATTATTATTATTATTATTATTATTATTATTATTATATTTTACTAGCAAATTGGAGGTTAGGCCAACCCCTTCTAAGAGATACAGATACATAAATAATAATCATAATTTGCTCCTAGTAATATTACTATATAGCCAAACACAAGCAATGATGAGGAATGCTGGGCACTAAGTTTAAGACACTGAACCGAGAGGCCTGAAAATTCCCAACTTTGCTAACAAATCTAGAAAGACCAGGCTTAATTTACAACTGGAAAAACAGCCTCATAAAGCTGGGTGGCTGTCTACTTGATTATTCCTTATCTGCCTTCGAAACTTTGGTCCCAAACTTTCTCCTCATCTGAATGCAAATCTGAATCTGTATAAAAACCAGCTCTTTGAGTGCCATAGTGTTGATGTGTGACCATGGACTAAGAGCCAGACTCGGCTTAGCCAGTGTAGATTTGACTGCAGAAAGGTGAGGTCACAAGGACCAGAGAAAGCACAGCATTTACCTTGATATACAATTATGTGTCTACATTTTCCCCTGCAAAAACAGAATGATCTGCCTAAGCCTTGCAAAATGCCTTTACTCTGAGCCCACCCAGCCCTCTCGAATGGAAGGCATCTTTCTTATCCAGCGCAGAAACGCTTTCACCCCACATATGTGGTAGCACTGAATCAAGTCGCAAGGAGGATAGTTACCTTTATGGTTCCAACTCGGTCTTCGAAAGACTTGAAGGTTGCAGAGTTTCTTAAAAGAAAAAAAAATCAATGTAAGACAATAAATCATGGTAGCGCATCAGACATTTGGACTTGGTATTCATGCAGGCCTTTCACTTGCATTGAGGCGTCTGGGGATATCTCAAGTACATTCATGGCCTTTGAAAAACTCAAGAGTGGCAAGCAAGGCTACAGCATATGCTTCGCTTTGGTATAAGCCTGAACTGCTGCTCTTCACAGAAATACAGGCATACACAACCGCAGCCAAAGTACACATTAGAGCTTCAGTGAAGCTCAAAAGTGCCATGCATTTTCTCTAAAAATTTTACCTCAATAAGAGTTAGATGCTTTTGAAATGCCTCATGAAAAGGACATTTAGCCCTCACTTAAGAGTACAAAGTGACCAGTTCTCATGTACAAGAAAGGTAGCACAATGCAACGGACCTGTTCCTCATAAGAAACCAAGCAATCTAATCATAACATCCCAATTGCCATGTTTGTTAGAATATTTTTTAAATGGCAGCCTGCAATCCAGCCCAATTGGGACTTCGTTCTTTTGTGTGCCTTTGAACAAGTCATTGCCAATTTATGGAAACCTTAAGGCAAATGCCATTTCTTGAAGCTGAGAAAGTGTGACTAAACCAAGGTCACACTGTGGGTTTTCATAGCCGAACAGGGATTTAAATCACAATCTCCAGAGCTTATAGCTCTGTGTCTGGTTTTATGCTGTTTTATATTGTTGATTTTGTTATTTCATATTTTGTTATGATGTACTTTGTGTGTTTATTATGTTGTATTATTTTGGGCTTGGCCTCATGTTAGCCACCCCAAGTCCCCTTTGGGGAGATGGTGGCGGGTTATAAATAAAGTGTATTATTATTATTGTTGTTGTTGTTGTTGTTGTTGTTGTTGTTATATAGCCCAGCACTCAAACCACTACACCAGTGATGGGCAACCTTTTGAGCTTGGTGTGTCAAAATTCCACAAAAACCTGAGCATAACTTGGGTGGGGTGTCACTTCGAGAGAGAAAAACACACCATAATTTTGCAATATTTATAGTTTAAATAAGAAAAATATATAATCCATGCTGACTTATGGAGTGAACAATACTCAAATGTGCAGATGTTAAATTTATAGAGCCTGTTACAAATTTAAGGATGGAATTAGATTGGCTCTTATAAGGTGTACTTCTCTGTATGCGGCTGCATGTGTCTGTGTGTCATCAAAAATAGCCATGCGTGTCAGTGCTGACACGCATGTCATAGGTTCACCATCATGGCACTACACCATACTAGCTTCAACCTGGAATATTTTTGTGGACATCATAACTATATTTTATATTTTTAAAAATACACTAGCTGCATTTTAAGAACTATGTGAATTTTTAAAGAAATTATTATAAATGTTTACATTTTTGAAGTATTCATTAGTTTAATTCAAACTGTGAACCACCTTAAGTCCCATATTGGGAAATTGGTGAGACATAAATAAAGTAAAATGAAATATCTATCCTAATGCTTCTTATGCTACCCAGTGTAGGTGATCAGCAGGGTTTCTTTCCCAATGTGCCAGGGACCAGATCTTTGATAACCAGGGTGTTTCTCTTTTCTGGAAACCTGCTGCAGGTCAGTCCGCAGTCAACCACTTTGACAATACTGAAGGCTTTCACATTACATAAATATAGCACTACATTATAACTGCCATGGCAGCATCTATGGAATCCTGGGGCTTTTAGTTTGGTGCGTCACCTGAGCTCTGAGCTAAGCGTTTCTAAATAACCCTGCCTAGACTGTAAATCCCAGGATTTCATTGGGTGCAGCCATGGCAGCTAAAGTGGAATCATAGTGCAATATAAAAAGAGTACTGGTTTAGTTAATGATTACAGCTTGAAAGCTGAAGAAATAGGTGCTTTCTGGCTTTCCAGTTAAATGCTGTTTTCAGTTTGCTCTTCTCGTTGTGGCATGTGAAAAGGCCCACATCTGTCTCCGACTTCAATGAGCCATCTCCACAGGCTTGCCTCTTTCATATCCGCATTCCTGCCTTCAAGTCACCTTATGGCTACCCCGTGAATTTCAGAACGTTTTCTGAGGCAACAATACTCAGAGGTGATTTTGCCAATTCTCAGCTTTGAAATATAACTGACAGCACCTGACAGCACGTGGGTGGTTCCTCATCCAAAAACCAACCTGGTTGGACTCTGCTTGGCTTCCAACATCAGATGAGGCCAGGCACCTTTAGGGTATTTACAAAAACGCAGTGATATTGCTATCTCTCTGAGTGTTTTTCACTCATTGTTGAAAACTAATTTAAGTCTGGTAAACTTTTGCTGGCTGTGGCAGATACTGTCCTGGTTTAAACTTTTATATCCTTGATTGGTTGGTGTATATTACTACTAGCCGTCCCTTGCCATGCATTGCTGTGGTCCAGACTGGTGATCTGGAAAAGTAATGAGAAAGTGTTGGTTTCTAATATTTGTAATTTATGCTTGTGGGTAAACAGTATTTCTTGCTGCTTCTTTGCCAGTGTTGATGTGGAGAGTGTCTGGTTTGCCTACTCTGGAATATGCAACATATCATTGTCCTTCTTTAGGGGTCCCTTTCAAATCTATGATACTATATCTCTGTGTGTGAATCATATATAACTATCTATATCTATGGTTGGATGATTCTTTGTCAGGAGGGCTTTGATTACATTTTCTTGCCCCAGTGAAGGGAGTTGGAATGGATGGCCTTAAGTATGGAGGTTCTGTGTGGGAAGTTTGCCCCAATTCTGTCATTGGTGGGGTTCAGAATGCTCTTTGATTGTAGGTGAACTATCAGTCCCAGTAACTATAACTCCCAAATGTCAGCGTCTATTTCCCCCAAACACTATCTGTGTTCATATTTGGGCATATGGAATATTTGTGCCAAGTTTGGTCCAGATCCATCCTTGTTTGAGTCCACAGTGCTCTGTAGATGTAGGTGAACTACAACTCCCAAACTCAAGATCAATGCCCACCAAGCCCTTCTAGTGTTTTCTGTTGGTCATGGGAGTCCTGTGTGCCATGTTTGGTTCAATGCCGTAATGGGTGGAGTTCAGAATGCTTTTTGATTGTAGGTAAACTATAAATCCCAGCAACTACAACTCCCAAATGACAGTATCAAAAATTTTTGAATGAAAGACATACATTGGGTTGTTAGGTGTCTCGTGTCCAAATTTGGTGTCAATTGGCCCACTGGTTTTTGAGTTCTGTTAATCCCACAAACGAACATGACATTTTTATTTGTATAGATCTTCTGAAAGATTAAACTGAAATATTCAGTTATTGCAAGCTCCCTTGGTAACAAAATCAACAAGGGTACTGATTTTGCACTAGAAGGGTAGGATACTAATATTTTAATACATAAACATTTTGTTTGGTTGAATATAACCGTGATTGCTACAGTTTGCTCTAAGAACCTTGTAAAAGAACAAATGTAAGTTACAAGTCTTAACGGTAATTGTAATTCCGTCCTAAACCCTGAAGGATGATACCACACATTCCCATGTCATCCTACCCACCACTCATTTAGTAGATACCACGGCATTCACAGTAAATAGAGGTCTTGCAAAAGAGATAGGACTTTCACCACATTACCTCATAGCTGGCATACTTATCGAGTGACGAATGGAGTAGCTGCTACTCGGAAGCATTAAGGGAAAGTAGGAAATATTAGGAGCGGTTAAAATGCCACCATGCGCAGTCATCCAAAATGGCCCCAGTCACACAAATGAGAAACATCCGAGAATCATCTTCAGTATTAGAATGATACCAGTAATACTTTATGGCATGAAGGTCCCACTTATGATTCCAATGGTTCTCAACCTGGTGTCCCCAGATGTTTTTGGCCTACAACTCCCAGAAATCCTAACAGCTGATAAACTGGCTGAGGTTTCTGAGAGTTGTAGGCCAAAAACATCTGGGGACACCAGGTTGAGAACCACTGTATTATTCCATTGACCTTTCCCTTCAACTACTACACCAAGCCATACAGCAAAGTGTACCATATGGACAGCTTTCCATATTACGTCTACTAATTCACAAAATCACAGACATTGAAAGAATCACCGATCCAACCGCCTGCTCAAGGCAGGATTTCCAGACTCTTTTTGGAGATGACCAGAGAAGGAGACCTCACCACACGTCAAGACCATTGGTTCCATTGCTGAACTGCTCTCATGGTCAACACGTTCCTTCCAATGGTCAATCGAAATCTATCCTCCTGTAACTTAACAATCATTAAACCTACCCTCCAAAGCAGCAAAGAGTAAGCTTGCACCCTCCTCTTTCCGCTAGACCTTAAGGTATTAGCTCATATGTTTTAATGCAATTTGTCTATATCTATGTCACTCCAACTTGTCTATCTCTTTCCATTCAAAAAGGTTGTTCCCCAGGACCAGAGATAACTACAAAAATGGGCTTTGGATTAAGAACAAAGGGATGTTATCCTTATTCTTTTTGCCTACTGATAACAAAACCGGACACAAAACATCATTGTGTGCCTTGGGTGATTAAAACTAAGAGAGGAAAATGACTAGACCAGGCCAGAAGCATCTATGTATGTCTGAATTGTTTAGGAAATGTAAGTCAGATCAGTCACTGCCTCAAGGAACTTGCAATAGGAATCCTTCCTCAGGAAAAAAAGGATTTGACTGCTCTGCTGTGTAGGATGAGGGACTTTGGTGTAATAGTATTTTAGCTATACTTTCCAAGTCCCGCATTTCACTGTAAATGGCAGCTCATTGCAATAAGACCGATGCAATGAGACAGAGCAGACTGCAATTCTACTGCAAGGAGCACCTCTCTGTCTCCATTGGGAGCCAATCCTTCCACAGCACGCACCATTTAATTTAAGGGAAAGACTTTTAATCCTCTGTTCTGCCCAAGAGACTTGGGGAGAGATGCATCTGGCCCATGACCAAGGCCTGAAGATACAGCTAAATAAAGAAAAAGACAGGGCAACGCAGCCATGTCAATGCCGCAAAGCAGAACGGAATCAGTGTGACATTTGTGTGGCCTCAGCGCAGCCTGACTCTGTTTGGGAGGGGAAAAGCAGAGCAGGAGCCAAGTGGGATCTCCCATCAAGCATGCAGGGAAGCCTTCACAGATGTCAGCAATTCAGGTGTGGCTTTCAATGTACAGCAGAGCCTCTGCCTTCTGGGTCAGGCTAGCCATTAATTTAAGCCAGTATTATCTTGTGCTGGGTATCATGCAACATTCTAATACCGCTGGACTTCAAGTACCAGCAGCCACAGCCAGCATAGCTACTGGGAGATGCATTCCAACATCACCTGATTCATAGAATCATAGAATCATAATGTTGGAAGAGACCTCATGGGCCATCCAGTCCAACCCCCTGCCAAGAAGCAGGAATATTGCATTCAAATCACCCCTGACAGATGGCCATCCAGCCTCTGTTTAAAAGCTTCCAAAGAATGAGCCTCTATCACACTCTGGGGCAGAGAGTTCCACTGCTGAACAGCTCTCACAGTCAGGAAGCTTTTCCTCAAGAATCTCCTTTCTTGTAGTTTGAAGCCATTGTTCCGCGTCCTAGTCTCCAGGGAAGCAGAAAACAAGCTTGCTCCCTCCTCCCTGTGGCTTCCTCTCACATATTTATACATGGCTATCATATCTCCTCTCAGCCTTCTCTTCTTCAGGCTAAACATGCCCAACTCCTTAAGCCGCTCCTCATAGGGCTTGTTCTCCAGACCCTTGATCCTTTGAGTCGCCCTCCTCTGGACACTTTGTGGCTTCTTCTCACATATTTATACATGGCTATCATGTCTCCTCTCAGCCTTCTCTTCTTCAGGCTAAACATGCCCAGCTCTTTAAGCCGCTCCTCATAGGGCTTGCTCTCCAGACCCTTGATCATTTTAGTCGCCCTCCTCTGGACACATTCCAGCTTGTCAATATCTCTCTTCAATTGTGGTGCCCAGAATTGGACACAATATTCCAGGTGTGGTCTAACCAAGGCGGAATAGAGGGGTAGCATGACTTCCCTGGATCTAGACACTATGCTCCTATTTTATTTATTTTTTATCGTGTCAGAAGCGATTTGAGAAAGCTGCAAGTGCTTCTGGTGTGAGAGACTTGTGTCAGGAGCAACTTGAGAACTTGCAAGTCACTTCTGGTGTGAGATAATTGGGGAGGCTTCTCTCATGTCCCTGCATGAGGAGCTGGAGCTGACAGAGGGAGCTCATCCGCCTCTCCCCGGATTCTAACATACGGCCTGTCGGTCTTCAGTCCTGCAGGCACAGGGGTTTAACCCACTGCACTGCACCACCGGGGCTCCTATTGATGATTGATGACTATACTCCAATTGATGATTCCCATTTCCTGGTCTAGTAGGATTTGTTATTTGAGGCATAACAATTCTCTCTTGACTCACTGGAACCAAATATGGAAATCAGGTTAAACTTTTCCACTAGTAGCTGGTGAATGCCTCAAAGGAGTTCCTATATTTGGCACAGCAGAAACTCACTTAGCAGCCACTGTTCTGTGCCTCAGCTGTTGGGCATTTGGGAGCAAGAGATGAATCAGAACCAAACAGTCTGGGGCAGAGCAAGAAGCCGCTAGTCATTGGAGTCCCTTGGAAATGTGCAGGCAGCATCGATGTCAAAGCTGAGCCGTTATTCCAAGGCTGGAGAATAGATGGGCTTTCGTGATTTCCTCTCCTATGTCAGAGTGGGGGTCACTCTGACATAGAGCTCATCCACCTCTGAGCATAATGTCCAGAATCCAGTTGGTGCATTATGCTGGTCAACCTTTCATGGTTATGTAACAATGGCAAGCACCAAGCAGCCAGTTTTCCAGGGACTTCCTTCCTTCATAACCATGAAGGAAGACTTTCTCGTAGCCTTTTCTGGCCTTTTCTGTTACTCATAGAATCAAAGAGTTGGAAGAGACCTCCTGGGCCATCCAGTCCAACCCCATTCTGCCAAGAAGCAGGAATATTGCATTCAAAGCACCCCTGACAGATGGCCATCCAGCCTCTGTTTAAAAGCCTCCAAAGGAGCCTCCACCACACCCCAGGGCAGAAAGTTCCACTGCTGAACGGCTCTCACAATCAGGAAGTTCTTCCTAATGTTCAGATGGAATCTCCTCTCTTGTAGTTTGAAGCCATCCTAGTATCCAGGAAAGCAGAAAACAAGCTTGCTCCCTCCTCCCTGTGGCTTCCTCTCACATATTTATACATGGCATATCTCCTCTCAGCCTTCTCTTCTTCAGGCTAAACATTTAAGCCACTCCTCATAGGGCTTGTTCTTCAGACCCTTGATCATTTTAGTGACCCTCCCTCTGGACACATTCCAGGTTCTCAATATCTCTCTTGAATTGTGGTGCCCAGAATTGGACACAATATTCCAGGTGTGGTCTAACCAAAGCAGAATAGAGGGGTAGCATTACTTCCCTAGATCTAGACACTATGCTCCTATTGATGCAGGCCAAAATCCCATTGGCTTTTTTTGCTGCCACGTCACATTGTTGGCTCATGTTTAACTTGTTGTCCACGAGGACTCCAAGATCTTTTTCTGCGTACTGCTCTTGAGCGAGGCGTTGTCCCCCATTCTGTATCTTTGCATTTCGTTTTTCCTGCCAAAGTGGAGTATCTTGCATTTGTCACTGTTGAACTTCATTTTGTTAGTTTTGGCCCATCTCTCTAATCTGTCAAGATCGTTTTGAATACTGCTCCTGTCCTCTAGCATACTTATGCCAACATACTGCACTGACTGGATTCTATCTGAATTAAGATTCCCCAAGGGTATCACTTCTCCGCAGAGTCTTACCTAAAGGAATGTGAGAAGGGATGGGCCCTGGAAGAATCCAATGGCAGCAGAAAGCAAAAGCCGGGAAAGAGAAACCCAATTAGATGCACATTTCACACCCAGAAGCAACACACACACACACCACTCATGCCCCAAGGCATATTTCTTTTAGAGGAGAATTAATATTTGTTCAATAATGTCATTCTCAGCGTTGGGCATTTACATGCAAGCATCCATGCTGCAAAATCAAGCAAAAGGAACTCTTCATTTTCTGCAGGTACACACTGGAAAACGCATGTAAGTAGTACCAATAGCTGGAACATCACACCTTCCAATTTCTTGTTTTCCACCCAACCAGAAACTCTAGTGACAGGCTCAACAGGTTATCTTAAGCCAGAGGTTCTCAGCCTGTGGGTCCACAGATGTTTTGGCCTTCAACTCCCAGAAATCCCAATAGTTGCTAAACTGGCTGGTATTTCTGGGAGTTGTAAGCCAAAACACCTGGGGACTCACAGGTTGAGAACCACTGTCTAAAGCCTATGGTATTTACTATGCAGCTTACAGGATAATTTTACCCTATCTACAGCTCTCGTAGTACAAAATAAGTACTAAAAGGCCCATCCTCAGGGCAGAAAACAAGGGGGAAAGTAATGCATAATGAAGGAAACATGGAAAAGCTTTTCCTCTGAGATTATAAACAAAATCTGTAGGGTTCAGAGAAGATGGTGTCACTATATGGCCAGGCAAGAGGAATCTGCTGAAATCCCTAGTGAGAAGGGTTAACAAGTTTGAAAACTTCCAAGGTAATCCACTAAGTGGTTTTAGGGTACCATAAAAACACAGCTGACATTAGTTCTTTATCATTCAAACCCTATGATCAACACAAGAGCATGGAGATATCTTCAGAGATTTCTTTTTGGGTTGCTATGAGTTTTCCGGGCTGTATGGCCATGTTTCAGAAGTATTCTCTCCTGATGTTTCTCCCACATCTATGGCAGGCGTCATCAGAGGTTGTGAGGCCTATTTCTAACAGATCTCACAACCTCTGAGGATGCCTGCCATACATGTGGGCTGTATGACCATGTTCCAGAAGCATTATCTCCTGATGTTTCACCCACATCTATAGCAGGCGTCATCAGAGGTTGTGAGGCCTATTTCCAACAGCTCTCACAACCTCTGAGGATGCCTGCCATAGATGAGGGCTGTATGGCCATGTTCCAGAAGCTTTCTCTCACAATGTTTCACCCACATCTATGGCAGGCATCCTCAGAGGTTGTGAGGCCTATTTCCAATATATCTCACAACCTCTGAGGATGCCTTATTATGTGGGCTGTATGGCCATGTTCCAGAAGCATTCCCTCCTGACATTTCGCACACATCTATGACAGGCATCCTCAGAGATTGTGAGGCCTATTTCCAACAGATCTCACAACCTCTGAGGATGCCTGCCATAGATGTGGGCTGTATGGCCATGTTCCAGAAGCATTCCCTCCTGACATTTCGCACACATCTATGACAGGCATCCTCAGAGATTGTGAGGCCTATTTCCAACAGATCTCACAACCTCTGAGGATGCCTGCCATACATGTGGGCTGTATGACCATGTTCCAGAAGCATTATCTCCTGATGTTTCACCCACATCTATAGCAGGCGTCATCAGAGGTTGTGAGGCCTATTTCCAACAGCTCTCACAACCTCTGAGGATGCCTGCCATAGATGAGGGCTGTATGGCCATGTTCCAGAAGCTTTCTCTCACAATGTTTCACCCACATCTATGGCAGGCATCCTCAGAGGTTGTGAGGCCTATTTCCAACAGATCTCACAACCTCTGAGGATGCCTGCCATAGATGTGGGCTGTATGGCCATGTTCCAGAAACATTCTCTCCTGATGTTTCACCCACATCTATAGCAGGCGTCATCAGAAGTTTTGAGGCCTATTTCCAATAGATCTGACAACCTCTGAGGATTCCTGCCATAGATGTGGGCTGTATGGCCATGTTCCAGAAGCATTCTCTCCTGACGTTTCACACACATCTATGACAGGCATCCTCAGAGGTTGTGAGGTCTGTTTCCAACAGATCTCACAACCTCTGAGGATGCCTGCCATAGATGTGGGCTGTATGGCCATGCTCCAGAAGTATTCTCTCCTGACGTTTCACCCACATCTATGGCAGGCATCATCAGAGGTTGTGAGGCCTGTTTCCAACAGATCTCACAACCTATGAGAATGCCTGCCATAGATGCTGGTGAAATGTCAGAAGAGAATGCTTCTGGAACATGGCCATACAGCCCGGAAAACTCACAGCAACCCAGTGATTCCAGCCATGAAAGCCTTCGACAAACACATATTTTCTTTTCTTTTTTTCCTTTTGCTCCTTGGTTTCTTACAAAGCATATTCACTTTCATTTGCTTCTTGATACTGCAAGCAGAGTTGAAAAGCAAAATTATCTGAATTGGAGATACTAGTATTGGCTCACAAAAGGAATGCTGTAGGACAACCTTTGTGAAGTTTCCCATGCAATAAAAAAATTGTGCCGTATAAGGACTCGAATCAAATAAACACAACGAGCTAAAAGTTAACTTTGATTGTGCTCATCTGACTGCATACCTGGCCCATTCCGCAAGGTTATTAAATTAACAGTTTATAAAAAAAGCAAAACAAACAGACCAGCCCTGTCTTTATTGGGCTTTTACCACACTTAAGTTTGCAATGTTGTCTAACATCTTGAGGAAGTTAATCTCTTTGCATCAACCTAAATCAGCTGCACCAGGAGCCTAACTTCCTCTAGAATGGTCGTAAGAAGGGTAAATAAAGTGAGATGCTATACAAAAGATCTACAGAAAGCGGTGATGTTATAGCAGGTATGGGCAAACTTTGGCCTTCCAGGTGTTTTGGACTTCAACTCCCACAATTCCTAACAGCTTCAGGCCCCTTCTTTTTCCCCCTCAGCCGCTTAAGCGGCTGAGGGGGAAAAAGAAGGGGCCTGAGCTGTTAGGAATTGTGGGAGTTGAAGTCCAAAACACCTGGAGGGCCAAAGTCTGCCCATGCTTGTGTTATACGCTCATCTAGAAGGTAACAAAACACTTAAGGAGATGTCTGCTGCTTCAATTGAACAAAGATCAGATGTTATTCTCTCCCCCAAAATACATATTAATATTTAATTCCTTTCCCCTTTGTTTTAAGCACACTTCAAACACACCAACAAAACCAGAATGCATTTTGTTTCTATGAGAACATAGTGTGGGGGGGGGGGGGGGTGAGAGAGAAAGAGAGCAGAATTTCCACTCAAAGGAAATAACTTCACAATAAAAATTCATCTCTGATCACATAAGATAAGCATAGGACAGGGAAACTTTTTTTCCTTTCATTTCCGCTGGACAAGACTTAATCAAAAAGCTCTTATAATAAGACAACATGGAGAACATGTTGCAGCCATTGAAATCAGTAGTTCAATGGCTCTGCCTTAGAGGAACAGGGGAACTCACTGAAAATGATACTGTTTTTGAAATTTTATTGAACACCAGCCGTCCCCTGACACGCGTTGCTGTGGCCCAGTCTGTGTATATATGTTTTGTGTGTGTGTGTGTTTTTGTATATATTTGTGTATATATATGTGTGGTTTTGCGAATGCGCTAGGGGTTTCTTTTTGGCTTTTTAAGTGTTTTCTGCTGTGTTATGTAGGGTTTTATGAGTGATGGTCACTCGTTGGCCTGATATGTGCATTGTGTCCAAATTTGGTGTCAATTCGTCCAGTGGTTTTTGAATTATGTTAATCCCACAAACAAATATTACATTTTTATTTAGATAGACAAGCCGTCCCCTGCCATGCGTTGCTGTGGCCCAGTCTGTGTATATTTGTTTTGTGTGTATGTATGTGTGTGCATATTTTTGTGTATATGTGTTTGCATATGTGTGTTTGTGTGGTTTTGTGAACGCATTGTAATGTTATTTTTTTGTTTTGTTTTTTGCTTTTAAGTCTCTTCTGGAGTGTTTTTTCAGTGTTTTTATTAGTGGTCACTTGTTGGCCTGATACATGTATTGTGTCCAAATTTGGTGTCAATTTTTCCAGTGATTTTTGAGTTATGTGAATCCCACAAACGAACATTACATTTTTATTTATACCTAGCTGTCCCCTGCCACGTGTTGCTATGGCCCAGTCTGTGTATGTGTGTTTTGTATGTATATATTTGTGTATATGGGTATATATGTGGTTTTGTGCATGCGGTGTAATGTATTTTTAGGGTTTTTTTGGCTTTTTAAGTTGCTTCCGCTGTGTTTTTCAGTGTTTTTATGAATGATGGTCACTCATTGGCCTGACAGGTGTATTGTGTCCAAATTTAGTGTCAATTCGTCCAGTGGTTATTGAGTTATGTTAATCCCACAAACGAACATTACATTTTTATTTATATAAATTAATACCCAAGGGGAGAGAAAGCAGTCGGCTTCTGCCTTTGGTGACAGGACAGACATACATTTTTCCCCCTCAGTCCTTTCTGGTTCGTCCTTAGTATCCGCTGTCTCCTTAAAAGGCTTTCCTTTACTGGGCTGCCAATCGAAAGTGAGTTCCCTCCAAGGATAAACAATCAAATCAGCTGCTTTTGCATTTGCTACCAGCACAATAGATGTTTTGCCACTTGTTGGCATCCATGTCAGGACATCAATCATCCCAAACCAGAATTTAAAGCTACTGCTAATAAAATGGAAACAAAACATTTTTGTATCTAAGACACATCTGTTTCCTGGAAAACTCTGATGGAAAAAAAGATTTATACATAATGAGATATCTGATACATTTAAATGTGGGTTGCTGTGAGTTTTCCAGGCTGTATGGCCATGTTCCAGAAGCATCCTCTCCTGGCGTTTCACCCACATCTATGGCAGGCATCCTCAGAGGTTGTGAGGTCTGTTGGAAACTAAGCAAGTGAGGTTTATATCTGTGGAATGCCCAGGGTGGGAGAAAGGACTCTTGTCCATTTGAAGCAAGTATGAATGTTGCAATTGGCCACCTTGATTAGCATTTAATGGCCTTACAGCTTCAAAGCCTGTGTGATTGCTGCCTCAGGGGATCCTTTGTTGGGAGGTGATTAGCTGGCCTTGATTGTTTCTTGTCTGGAATTCCTCTGTTTTCAGAGTATTATTCGTTATTTACTGTCCTGATTTTGGAGGGTTTTTTAAAATATTGGCAGCCAGATGTTCATTTTCATGGTTTCCTCCTTCCTGTTGAAATTGTCCATATGCTTGTGGATTTTCAATGGTTCTCTGTGTAGCATGACATGGTGGTTGTGAGAGTGGTCCAGCATGTCTGTGTTCTCAAATAATATGCTGTGTCCAGGTTGGTTCATCAAGTGCTCTTCTATGGATGACTTCTCTGGTTGAAGTAGTCTGTAGTGCCTTTTGTGTTCCTTGATTAGTATCTGGGCTATGCTGCATTTGGTGGCACCTATGTAGACTTGTCCACAGCTGCGTTTGGTGGTCCCTATGTAGACTTCTCCACAGCAGTGTTTGGTGGTCCCTATGTAGACTCCTGCAGAGGTGAGAGGATCCCTCTTGTCCTTTGCTTTTCAGACAAGAATCAGCCAGGGCCAGCTAACACCTCCCAACAAAGGATTCCCCCAGGCAGGAAGCAGCCAGGCTTTGAAACTGCAAGGCCATTAAATGCTAAACAAAGTGGCCAATTGCAACATTCATATTTGCCTCAAGAAGACAAGAGTTCCTTTCCCACCCTGGACCCTTTCCCACAGATATATAAACCTCACTTGTCTAGCTTCCAACAGATATCACAGCCTCTGAGAATGCCTGCCAAAGATGTGGGTGAATCGTCAGGAGAGAATGCTTCTGGAACATGGCCATACAGCCTGGAAAACTCACAGCAACCCAGTGATTCAAGCTGAGGAAGCCTTCAACAACACATTTAAATGTGTTTGTTTTGGATAGGAAACAGACATGGCTAACTCAAATAAACTGAAAATAATTGTTTGCAGAGATGTAAGTCTCAGTGTGCTATTATGTGATCAGAGCTTGTCACATGCTTACCACTCGGATATTCCCAGCCAAATCGGGAAAGGAGAGAGGCTGTAATAATGTCGGATGTGATCAATTCAGAACCAATTTCTATTTCACATAAGCATATTTCTGCACATTAAGTTGTTCCATGTAGCACTGTGCTGCATCAGAATATAACGGCCCACATAGAAACACTGGCTGGAATTCAGTATGGGACGGTCACTTTGTAACACCCATACGGGACGAAGGAGATGACAAAGTGGCCTTTGTGCCTTGGGACCAATGACAATCAGCTCTAGAAACCAATGTACAAGCTTCCCTAATTCTGCTGTTCAAAATTTCTAATATCCAAATTAACAGGCAGCGATAGGGGACAATCTTGTCTGATCCCCTTTGAATTTCTATATAATTTGACATTTGGTAATTTATTTTTAATTTGGCACTTTGTCTTGACTATATAGCTCTTCTGGCCTTTCTAAAGTGTTGACCCACTCCAATATGGTCCAGTACTTTAATCATATAGTCCCACTGCACATTATCAAATGCTTTCTCCGCATCTAAGAACAGTAACGCGATCTCTCTGCTTGGGTCTTGTTCAGCGTACTCTATTACATCTATCACCGTTCTCATATTTTGACTCAGATGTCTACCTGGAAGGAAGCCTGCTTAATCCCCATGTCTTATTTTAGCTAGAATTTGTTTCAACTAGTTTGATAAAAATTCCAGCAAATAACTTATAATTGTTATTGACCAATGAAATTGGTTTATAGTTCTTCACTTGCTCCATGTCTCTATCCTTGGGTAAAAGAACCATCACAGCTTCCTCCCAGGACTCTGGCATCTCTCTTTTTTTGAGTACTTGGTTCATCATAGAAAGCAACAACTGGCCTAATTCTTTTTTATCCACCTTATAAAACAGAGCAAAGAATCCATCTGGACCTGGGGCTTTATTTAATTTGGCTTTCTTTATAGTTGTATTCCATTCTTCCCATGTGATCTGTCTGTCCAAGACACTCTTGCCAGTCATAATATGCACTTTTACAATTCACTTAGCATAATTCTGTGGCACATAGATAAATATGTGTTCAGTTACTGTTATTGTTATTACTATTATTTGATATATAGCAAGCTTAGTACACAGCAAACAAGATCACTATGTTGGCTTTTGTATTTAATCACACATTGGACACTTCCCAAGTGTCTAGTACTGTGTGATGAATAATGAGTGCAAAATTGTTATTATTTATTTATTTATTTATTTATTTATTTATGGCTTTATCTACTTGAAGGGGACTCAAAGTTATGCAGAACCATAAAGAATAACAGCCTTTCCCAACAGCAAGGAAGGGACTCCTTGGATAAAGAAGATGAAATATCGCCTATAAGTCACCCCAAGGATTCTCCATCCATTATTTGACTCAAACCAAGGAGCCATTTTATATCTTTGCCAGCCAAAAGTAGTGTTATATTTAAGCTGTCATCCCTAAATAACTAGGGACCTTCAAAATGATCATTAGTGCTGAGATTCTAGCCTGCTTTCCATCCAGTAGGTTAAAATGACAGCTGCTTGTACTTCCACACCAGCAGCTGCATCCGTAATCCAATTGCAGTTGATTATACAAGGTACTAAAGCACTCAGAGTACAGGGACACACACTAAGTGAACTCCTGAACACATTATTGTTGGAGGATGTTCTTACGCTTGTAGACTGATTAGTAGTAAACTCACGAAGAAGCTTAAAACAACTGTTTGTGGGGTTTAAAAAAAATACACCTTGCCAATGAAGAAATGATGAAATTGATTAATGCATTAGACATGTAACAAGAGCCAGGCAATTTATGCCAAAACATAACTTTTGGGGAGCTACAGAATTATGTTCTGTGCCACTGTAATACCTTGGTTTTTAAGTCACGTTAGGTACATTTAGATGCATGCCATCAGCATTCAGAAGAGCAAAATATTTTTCGTTAGGAGTGACAAAGGTATCCATGGCATTTGTTTACAAAGAAGCTGAATGACCATTGCACCCCCTTTCACCTGTTACAAATACACATAAAGCAACAGTGACAAAACTGTTTTTCTATCATTTTAGGATGTGGTGCAAGGTCCCACTTTTTAATGACATGTGTTCAGAGACCCAGAGTTTAGTAGTAGTAAGTAGAACATGCCTTAGTTGCTTAACATAGTATTGAAGGAGGACATCCCCACATAAAAATCATTCTGGGAGGCATAGAAAGGTAAACAAAGATTTCTGCTGTAGTCACAGAACCTCTTTCAACCCAAGGGCCAAATTCTATTTAAGGCAAATTCCCAGGACCACATTCTAGTAGTAGTTTAAGAAAAAAAATAGAACTAAAGATGTGATGATGAGTTTGAAGCTTTCAATGTCAATAATTGAGCCTTACGAGAAGCACGGCAATCTTTTAGAATAAAAAAATAAACAAATCTGCAAACCCTTTTAGGATGATGCCATGGAAAGGGGAACAGTTGTATGTGGCACTTATCTTGGTTGCAATGGGACCCTGGCAGGACTGCACTCAGCCCCAAAGCCCTCATGAGGTTCTGCAACCCAGAATAAACGGCCATCTGCAACTGCGTGTCAGTCCTATAAATAGGATCTGTTACAGCCAGAGTTGTCTGCCCTCATTGATGCTACGAGAATAGTTTCTGCTTAGCCAACCTGACAGAGAGGAGAGCATCTTGGTAGACCTTTTCTTACCTCATGTCTCCCAGCTTCCGGCTGATCACGGAGCCCACATTGGAAAGGGCAGCTGAAGTTTTCTGTCCCGCCTGAGACAGCGTTTCTTGTGTCTTCTTGTAACTAGGCAAGGAAAACAAGGGTTGTAACAGCTGAAAGGCAGTAATTAAGAAGGAAAGGACTCAAGCAGCAAGGGAAAACCACAGCTGGTGCTCAGAAAACGGTGTTGAAAGCAAGAAGGAAGGCAGTGTTTTTGACCAAGGCCCCTGTGTGAGCAAGCACCCCGTGAACATCATAAATGCTCCTCTATTTATCTATAAATAATTCATTTTACAGACTTCAGGGGCCTCATTCTACTTGTAGAGGTCTCTACACCAAATGAGACACACATGCAGCTATTAAAATGATGCTGGCACACTTCTTGAAATGCATTTACCAACATCCTGGAAACAAACCAGGGCATCTCGGAATGAGTAATCTGAATACATTGCTCAGCTGGTTCCTAATGCAACTACGTCTTAAAGCCTTGCTCATCATCCTTGTTTACTACCAAATGTTGATTTTAATTCTCACAGTAGGAGGAATGTAGAAGTCTTTTAAAATTTCATTTTGGACTTTCTGCTTCTTACATCTCCACACTTTTCCTTTGCACCAAATAAACAGCTCCCGGCCCCATCTAACCAGGAGGAGGAAGAGGAAGAGGAAAAAGACAGGAATTTGCAGTGCTCAAAAAGTGCAGAGATGCCACTGGTAGTTTGGAAACAACTATTAATACTGACAGGTTAAATAAAAAAGAAGACTTCTGCCATAGAAGGAAAATGTTTCCCATCAGTTACCATTAAAAGGTCCTGCTTAAAAACAAGAGCGGTAGCAACACTTATGAACTATACAATTTGGGGGATTTCAAAAATCATCACTCTGACAGCACAGTTGGTGAACTCTAGTCTTTAGTCCTTACATGTTGCACTGAAGAAGATGCAGGGGCCAGTTATGTATTTCCCAAAACATGACTGCAAGTAAGGAAGTAACTGGAGCTATTGCTACACTCAAGTGTCCTATAATTCCTTACCCTTTGGGCGTCCACTTGCCCATCAACATCTTGAGGTACTAAGGGTACAATCTCATACACCTATCTAGGAATACATTATACTGAACCCAAGACCACCTAAGTCGAAAGCAGTGGTTCTCAACCTGGGGTCCCCAGATGTTTTTGGCCCTCAACTCCCAGAAATCCTAACAGCTGGTAAACTGGCTGGGATTTCTGGGAGTTGTAGGCCAAAACACCTGGGGACCCACAAGTTGAGAACCACTGGTCTAAAGAGATACACAGAGATCAAGGAAAGAGTTATTTGCATATGCTCAATAAAGTTGTGGATTTCCAAGTCTTAACAATATAAGTTGCAAGATTATGAACCCACTTCCATGCATGGCAGCTCTGCTCTATTTACTTAGCTGTTTTGGATGATTTTTCCTCCCAGTCAAGCTCACAATTCACAGCAATAGGAGGTTCATTTTCTTCGACTCTGTGTCATGCTTAATATTTAAAAAAACCCTCTTTCTCAAACAAACAAACACACACACACACACTTCCACTCTCTCATACGGTTTCCAACCCATGAGCTGTGAAACCTAAAATAAGGACTGTAGAGGACAGTGCGTGCCACTGTTGGAGGAGTGAGAGAGAGAAGGAATGTCCCCCAAAGTTGTTGTTGTTGTTAGCTCCCATTGCCAAACACAAGAGTTGTAATGGTAAAGGAGCCCTTTGTAAGACACTGTTCATTCCATAATAATAATAATAATAATAATAATAATAATAATAATAATAATAATAATAATCAGCAGCAACAACAACAACAACAGCTGTTAGGGACACTTTCTTGGGTCTTGCACTCCACCTTTTGTATCTTTTTCAACCTCAGCCTCCTCCCCTTCTTTTTTAACACGAGCATTAACAAAATCCATGGATAATAACACATACCAACAAAAAAAAATCTTGGTGTCTTCGTTTTTAGGCCTGGTTCTGGGTTATTTGGGGTGTTGATTTAGAAAAGTGAATTGGATAGACTACTTCAGCTCTAGATTATTAAATAAGGTTTTCTGTGTGCAAGCAGATGTTGGCTACTGGATGGCAAATGTTCTGTATCAGAAACTAAAGCTGATGTGGTCTATCCAATGCAATTTTCTGAACCAGCACTCCAAATAACCAAACGGAATCTAAAGTTGACCAAAAACTGATTCGTATCTCTTTTGGTACTAATGTTGGAGAGTGGTCCCTGGTAAAAAAAAAAAAAAAGGTTGGGAACCACTGCTCTGTAGGTAAACACTGTGGAGATACATTCAACCCTCCACATTTTCAAGTTTAACTTCTTTAGATTTGATTACTCTGTTCTCGTTGGGTCATCCAGCAGGACTCAAACGTCAAATTCTGGCAGGCGTAGAAACCTCCAGAGAGGTGTTCTCCCAGGTTAAGAAACCACCTTCACCTTTTACTTCAGTGTTTTACCCCAAGAAATTTGTATTAGAATAAGTATTCCTGGCTATTTGAGATCAGGAGCAGTGGGGAAACTGGTTTTTAAGGTGAAAAAGCCCTGTTGGACAATGGGAAACGGTCATGCACCTCTCAACACTGATTCTGTGTGTAGCATGTTTTGGTTACTTTCCCCATGAAAACAGGTTTGACCATATTAAGGCAAATGCAAGTAAGTGTATTACATATTCCCATGTTCCTATTGTTTGATCAAGACTATCCTGTCCTACAATGCTCTTGTTACATCCCAAAAAGATTACTGCAACTCACTCTACGTGGGGTTGCCTTTGAAGACTGTTCGGAAACTTCAATTAGTCCAGCGGGCGGCAGCCAGATTACTCACCAGAGCGTCATACAGGGAGCATACCACCCCTCTGTTATGTCAGCTCCACTGGCTGCCGATCCAGTTCCGAGCACAATTCAAAGTGCTGGTTTTGACTTACAAAACCCTATACGGCTCCGGCCCAGCATATCTGCCAGAACGCATCTCCCTCTACGTCCCACCTCGGAGTCTGAGATCTTCTGGGGAGGCCCTGCTCTTGACCCCACCTCTATCACAAGTGAGATTGGTGGCGACGAGAAGCAGGGCCTTCTCGGCAGTGGCCCCTCACTTGTGGAATTCACTCCCCGGGGAAATTAGGTCATTGACATCCCTCCTCTCCTTCAGAAGGAAATTAAAAACATGGTTGTGGGACTAGGCTTTCGGGCAATCTGGCAGTTAGACAAGGACAATGATGACTAGACAATATGGAATGAATTTATGGACTCTGAGATGGTGAACGCTGAGTATTGATTGGTTTTATTGATTTTTATTGATTTTGTTGTATAAAGTGACCATTTCAATTGTTATAGTTGCTGTATACATGTTTTATCCATTGTTTTTGTTTTTGCTGGCATCAAATTGTGCCTTTTGTAAGCTGCCCTGAGTCCCCCTTCGGGGGTTGAGAAGGGCAGGGTAGAAATGCGCAAAATAAAATAAAACAAACAAACAAATAAATAAATAAATAGAATATTGCAAGGTAAATCTAGATCAGTGGTTCCCAACCTGTTGCCCGTGGACCACCACTGGTCCACAAAAACAAAAATATGCTCTGTGGCGCCTTACCATTACTACACCATTGCCTCAAAACCACGCGGCAACAAGAGCAACTGGTCTCAGGAAGCCCTCTTATAGTGCTTAGGCAACTGGGATGTCGGGAAGTCCCTGATCAAGTGGTCTCTGGTTGAAAAAGGTTGGGAACCACTGGTCTAGTGGTAAGTATTCAGAGGCATTGCCAACCAATTTATCCCAACTTAAACCATGCTCTCAAAACCAGTACAGTGAAGTGGTTTGTGCATTCAGCTAAAACCATAGTGCTGGAAGACACTATAAAAGGCATCCCCTCCCATACAGTAATCCACAATCAACACACTCCCAAAAGATGCCCTCTAGCTTCTCAAATTTCTGCACAGCACTGAGCGCCTTCAGTTTCCAACTTGCAGGAACGTGACACAATCTTAACTATCTCCTCTGCCTCAGCAACACATGCACACTTGTCATCATAACCTGGATGTAACGGATGCTTCTAAGTACTGCACAAAGGCTATTTCTGCCATTGCATGTCCAGCGTTAGTTCCTGTTTCCTGCTCTGCCAGAAGGCTCTTAAAACTGCTTGCTTATTCAGCGGAAACTTCCCAAAGGCAGCAAAAAAGGAAGTGCACAAGCTTAAGTCTTACACTGGCGTCCCTTCTCTTCTCAGAGCAGCTGTAGCTGTTTGATGGATGGATGGATGGATAGACAGAGAAGGAGGACTTGCCTCACACCTTCAGTCCTCGAGGCATGTTTCACTCAATGGATTGAAGCACTGGCCCTTAGTGCAAAATCTGATTTGGAAAAATGGAGGAGCAGTATATTTTAAAGATCAGACCAGGAAACAGGAGTTCAATCCATGGAATTAAGACTTCCTGCCACACAACACAGGAAAGTGACCAAGAAATGCAAAACTTCCTGCTTCTCCGGGACAAATGCCAATGCAACTTGACCAAAGTGTGCTGTTTGTTGACTCTGAATGCCCAGATGCTGTGGACAGAAGAAAGTGGGACTGTGCCTGTTGAGTAAAGCTGAAGCAAAATCTGCTAAACTTCCCCAAACCATCAGGATTGCAACAGCAAGAAACCTGTATGAGTTTTGGAGTTTGAGCAACAGAATACTACAAAGAATGAGAATAATATAATGTAGATAGAATACTCTAACCAGAAGTGTAGAAGAGCACTGAGATCCTGCCTGTAAATAGTTGTAATACAAAATAATGAAACTGAGGAAATAAATAGACTAATCTGATGAAAGAAAGAAAAAAAGGTAATTTACAGAAGACTGGAAGCCATTTCTTTCTTTCTTCTTCTTTTTTTTGACAGTGAAAATAGAATATATTTTGTGGATTTTGAAAACTATCTCTCCCTCAGAATTAAAGAATGTATAAAGTATATAAAATCAATGGCAGATTCTATAAATTTTAAAATCTTATTTCACTGGTAGGAAAGTGGGAAGCCTACCTTTTTCTTGTTCCTCCCCCCCTTCTTCTGTGTTTTGTTTTTGTTTTTTTCCTTATAGTTTAGAATGTTTGAGCAACATTAAAAAAAAACAGGGGAATTCTAGACAAGAATCAATCAGGGCCAGCTAACACATCCCAACAAAGGATTCTCCCAGGCAGGAGGCAGTCAGGCTTTGAAGCTGCAAGGCCATTCAATGCTAATCAAGGTGGCCAATTGCAAAATTTTCACTTGCTTCAAACAGACAAAAATTCTTTTCCCCACTGTGGACATTCTACAGATCCCACACTTGCCTAGTTTCCAACAGTCTCTGAAAATGCCTACTATGGATGTGGGCGAAATGTCAGGAGAGAATGCTTCTACAATATGGCCATGCAGCCCAGAAAACTCACAGCAACCCAGTGATTCTGGCCATGAAAGCCTTCAATAACACATTTAGAATGTTTGTTTTTGCGTGTTTGTGTTGTTCTTGCTTGTTATTGGTGGGTCTGTTATCTCCTTTTTATTTTTCAGTTGATTTTTTTAAGGCTATGATACTTAATAAACCTAAATTTAATTATTGAAAATAATAATAAGAAAATTCCATGGCCTGAAAAGAGCAGGCCATGGATAAAATTGTGGAATGGCAAGTCAATGCTTATTTAAACTGTGCAGTTGGCCCTCCCTCCACATTCCGCAGATCAGATCAGATCAATACATGATCTCTAGAAATCTCTAGGTCCTCCAGTGTGACTTACACTGCTCAGTGAGAACACTTCTCCGGGCATTTACTGATCTTCCAGTGCAGTTCTATGGTCAACTTTTTATGGAGAGCCTAGCAGTCAGGACTTCTCATCACCTCCACTGCTGCCCTACACCATACTTGGTGCTACTCTTTTTGCTTCTTATTTATAAAATACTAGCTGTCCCCTGCCACGCGTTGCTGTGGCCCAGTCTGGTGATCTGGAAAATAAAGTAATGGTTTCTAATATATGTAATTCCTTTATGCTTGTGGGTAAACAGTATTCCTTGTTGTTTCTTTGTCAGTGTTGATGTGGAGAGTGTCTGGTTTGCCTACTCTGGAACATGCAACATAGAATTGTCCTTCTTTAGGGGTCCCTTTCAAATCTATACTATATCTCTCTCTGTGTGAGAGAGAATCATATCTATCTATCTATATCTATGGCTGGATGGCTCTTTGTCAGGAGGACTTTGATTACGTTTTCTTGCCCTGATGAAGGGAGTTGGATTGGATGGCCTTAAGTATTTTTTGTTGGTTACGGGGGTTCTGTGTGGGAAGTTTGCCCCGATTCTGTCGTTCGTGGGGTTCAGAATGCTCTTTGATTGTTAATGAACTGTGAATTCCAGTGTCTACAACTCCCAAATGTCAAGGTCTATTTCCCCCAAACTCCATCTGTGTTTATATTTGGGTGTATTGAGTGCTTGTGCCAAGTTTGGTCCAGATCCATCTTTGCTTGAGTCCACAGTGCTCTCTGGATGTAGGTGAACTACAACTCCCAAACTCAAGGTCAATGCCCACCAAACCCTTCTAGTGTTGTCTGTTGGTCATGGGAGTTCTGGTGCCAAGTTTGGTTCAATTCCCTCGTTGATGGAATTCAGAATGCTCTTTGATTGTAGGTGAACTATAAATCCCAGCAACTACAACTCCCAAATGACAAAATCATAATTTTTTGATTAATGGTCACTCCTTGTGTTGTGAGACGTTTTGTTGCCAGATTTGGTGTGATTTCGTTCATTGGTTCTTTTGTTTTTAAGGAACTCATTATGCACAGAGAATTTTTATATATATAGATACTTTTTAAAATATGTATTAATTTAATTTATTTTTAATTAGTCATTCAATCTCTGGGCAGCCTCACAGCCAAAGCTTTCAGAGCAAAGTCCAGAAATACAAAGATCATTAGTCTCAGCTACAGTAGACCCTCTGAATCAATGGAAACTTGATAAGTTAAAAATTGCATCCCTTTGATTACATGGAAATTACAATTGGATTTTGGCCGCAATAAAATGCAATAAAACCCAGTTAAATTTAATCAAACTTTGAAAAAGCAATTAGAAGCAAATTTTAAAATTTCAGAGTAAAAGATAAAAAAAAATACTGATGTTTTAAAAAGCAGTAACAGAAGCAGAAACCCTTCAATTAGTTCCGGTCTGCCAGAGATATGGAAACTTATCATCTACCACCTGAATTTTCTGCAATCCAGCAGAGCTCTGAATGTCCTTTTTTTTTTAATGCAAGTTGCAATGTTTCTCTTTTGGACTACTGGTCACATTGATTGCGTGTTGACCCTCCAAAATTGGATTTTTTTTTCAAAGTTATGACTTCTAAAAGCTCACAACAGTATAAACTAGAAACTTGTATTTTCAAGTATTTTCAAGGATCCCAATGTTGCGCTCACTGCTGCATTGTGTTCCTGCTGTGCTCTTACCGAACTGCAGCCCACACACAATGGATGTGCTGACTAACTCACTCTACACCAACTGAGGCCTATTGCAAGGCAGCCCATGACCAAAGGCTGCTGCTCATTTCCAAAGAGCACTGGGAAGCTATCACTCATTTGGATCCAGAGCATCCCGGAGAAAAGGTTCAGCACCCCCATTACAGTGCAGCTATAAATCATCCTTCCCCCACCATTCTTGATTGCTTAGAAAAACAAGCAGCATTTACAGATTGGGGACCAAGCAGATAGACAGTTAAGTGCAGGGAAGGGAACTGCTAGTTAGGTGCAATGCTACTATATAAAGGGGATGGGCTTTATTACTAAAGGTTAAGACACTCACGCTTCTGATTGGGTTAATTTGTCATTCCAGTCTTCCAGTGTGCTGCTGGCCGAAACATATCTACAAATACAATGGAGATTAGAGAAGGGAGCAATGGCTTATTTGTTTATGTATATATTTACCTATATGTTGCCTACTAGGACATAATTCACCCACATCTGATTGCAGAAATCATAAGGCTAAAAGAAATTCTGTTCCAATCAGCTACTTGACATTTTACATTTTTTGTCTCCGGTTATCAAGTTGAACCCACAAAATCACATGGAAAAAACAAGTTACAAAAGAGAGGTTTCCTCACTTCTCTTTCACTTCCAAGTAGATTTGCATCACATTTAAGGCATAGTTGTTCTTAAATATTGCAGTTAGATGCTACAAAGATAACCAGATTCTATGTATATCCAAAAGCTGATTTAAAATACCAGTTGAAATGTTTTTTTCCTGCAGCATCTGTGAGTAGATCAATAAGTAAGGTAGATCAGCGGTAAGGTAAACAGAGTAAATATTTTTATTTGAGCAACTGATAAGCTCATGCTATGGCTAACTTTAGGCTCCAGCCTAAACAACACTTACAAGCAACTGTAGAAAAAAAAAATCAAGCTAAGAGTTTGGGCAGAAATAACTTGAAGGAACATATGAGTGGTCTTAACCCAAATATATTAGCTCTGCAAATTAACAAATGGCCTGCTTTTTCTCATAAAAAAGGCTGACTATGTAATCAAAGGGGGATGAAGATCCATTGCTCTTAATAAAACTTCTTGGTGGGGAGAGAGGCTTATGGGCAAAAAACCGTGGCTCAATGAAGGGATCAGAGGGAATATCTCAGTGGTTCTTGACCTGTGGCTCCTCAGGTGTTTTGGCCTACAACTCACAGTAATCCCAGCCAGTTTACTAGCTGTTACGACTTCTGGAGGTTGAAGGCCAAAACATCTGGGGACCCACAGGTTGAGAACCACTGCAGAGGTGGCTTCTGTCAATCATAGAAAGCCATAGGTTGACAAATGAGGCATAAAACATTGCATCCTTCATCTACAAGTTTCTTCTCTCATGGATACAATTCTTTTTTATCTATAGTGAGCTGGCAAGTAGTTAAATAAAAGACTAAAATGCACTTTAGACAGTTACACACCCAATCTCTCTCTCTCAAACACACACAAACACAAAAGGAGATTGATACATATATACATTCAAGCATGAGTCACTGAACAGAGTGATGCTTGAGATGTATGGCCTCCTCTTTGCAGAAATATTGGCTTCAAAGCCTTCTACTTAAATTTATCAAAACAGCTGCCAGGCACCATTCTCTCCCCACCGCTACCCAATGTGCATACAGGTCATTGTTAATTATCTGTAGCTTGACATCTACATAAAAAACACACATCTCGTGCACTCTTTCAAAAATAACAGATAGGATTTTGATATTGTCAAAGGTTTTCATGGCCAGAATCACTGGGTTGTTGTAGGTTTTTTGGCCTATGTGGCCATGTTCTAGAACAAGGGTCCTCAAACTTTTTAAACAGAGGGCCAGGTCACAGTCCCTCAAACTGTTGGAGGGCCGGATTATAATTTGAAAAAATCATGAATGAATTCCTATGCACACTGCACATATCTTATTTGTAGTGCAAAAACACTTAAAACAATACAATAATTGAAATGAAGAACAATTTTAACAAATATAAACTTATTAGTATTTCAATGAGAAGTGTGGGCTTATTTTTGGCTGATGAGATAGGATTGTTTTTGTTGTTGTTGTTGTGCGCTTTCAAGTCATTTCAGACTTAGGTTGACCCTGAGCAAGGGCTGGGTAAATCACCTTGGAGGGCCACATCCGGCCCCTGAGCCTTAGTTTGAGGACCCCTGTTCTAGAAGCATTCTCTCCTGACATTTCACCTGCATCTATGGCAAGCATCCTCAGAGGTAGTGAGGTCTGTTGGAAACTAGGAAAATTGGGTTTATATAACAGACTTCACTACCTCTGAGGATGCTTGCCATAGATGCAGGTGAAACGTCAGGAGAGAATGCTTCTAGAACATGGCCATATAGCCTGAAAAACCTACACCAACCCAGGGTTTTGACAATTTAGATGGCTGCAGAACATGCATGGACAAAATTTGGCTCTCTGGGTGTTTTGGACTTCAACCCTCACAATTGTGGGAATTGAAGTCCAAAACACCTTCAAAGTTTGAAGTCCAAAACACACAAAGCTTGGCCATGCCTGCTATAGAACATACACTTCCAGCCCATGTGCCCATCACATAATTACATCTCCCTTCCCTGTAGTACCCCCACAAAGATTAGATTTTTTAAAATCTTGTCCTCTCTAGAATCTGTCATGCCCTCAAATGGCATACTGCCTCTGTTTCCCAATTTGACCGGTACAGTCCTGATTACATCTACTTTGTAGGTTGCACTCAGTCACTTCCACGAATGGGAGCATCATGCCTGTCCAAGTAGACTCAAGCAGAAGCAAAATCCTGCATTTTTCTTCACTCATTAATAACTTTTGTCATCTTGACCACACACTGCTATTTCTTGGCTGTGTGAATCCCAGTTTTGATCTGTGAAATGCTGGGCGTATATGCAATGGTACTAAAACATTGGCAAGGTAAGGTCAAGTATTAGCTTTGCCTGAAAGTTCACATGCAACATAAAAGAGTACTTCCTAGCAAATAATAGGTAGCACCGGTGGCTAAAAAAAACAAAAAGGGTATTTCCTAGTTCTAATCTTATTGAATAAATTATGGTAACTGATTGGAATTTTCCTTTCTTTGCACAAGAGCATATCAAAGAAGCCAGCAAAGTGTTTAATCCTGAAGACGGCCAAGAGAACTGAAAAGCAAGGAATAAGGTTTAACATTAACAAGCAAGAGGCCTTAGTATGGCTCCGCTGCATCCCAAGCATGCAGCCAGCTTCCTCTGTGACCGAGACGGAGGTGTGAAACAAGGTGGAATCCAGAGCCAAGGAGAGTGAGGCAGTGCTCGGGAGACGGGAGAGAGGCACTCACAGATCCGACTGGGTCACTTTCTCATTCCACTCTCCAAGTTTCTCAGAGGTTTTCATATAACTAGAAATAAAAACCCAGGGGTCAATCACACTTTCAAAAAGAGGGAAAGATTTCAAGGGAAAAGGAAACCAACACTCAGGAAAGAGGTGATGAAAAAAAGTGAGAGGTTAAGCTAAGAAATGGGTCAGGGTGAGAACTCAGAAGATGTCCATCTTGGGCTAGGAGTCTGAGAATCAGCTGGGTTGTTTTGGGATCTGCGGATCCACCAGAGTAGTTTTTTCAAGCCATGGTGTAGGCCACTTGCCTGTCAGTGGAATTAAGATTTAAACATTATTCAGGGCTGGGGAGGGGAGAGACAGTGACTTGAAACATTATTTGCAGATTGGATCATGCAGTGTGCTTTGAGCGTGAAGCACTGACTGTTATTAGATGACTAAAACAAAACAGCTGAACAGGAAGCATGGAGAACCAGTTCATCTATTCCTTGGGCACACATAAGTTTAAGTTTCAAGATTCATCTGTTTTTGGGCACACACAAGTCTGATGAAAGAACCATAATCACAATTACAGGCACACCTCAGCAAACCTTGTTTTTCACCGTATCTTTTTATGCCTGATGAGCCAGCATTCCTTTTTTTTTTACTCATCTTCTATCTAACTGGAAGTTATTTAGCCACAGCATCATTTGGAAGATGGTGGCTGGAGAAACACAGACTGTCATTGCTGGATTGCAATAACATGACTGCAGTCAGCAGCACAATAAATAAAGCTTCACCAGGAAAAGAATTCTACTCTAGCCAGTCCTATCTTAATTTGTGTGTATCTGCAACAGGCAAGGTAAACAGCAGCTGCCTCTAGAAACTCTTCCTGAGCATACATGAATGGTATACCAGAGAGAAAACAAGAGAGCAAATAAATCTACCTTACCGCTATGGCCAGAATATTAAATAAAATAGATGTGGTAAGTTTTCCAGCTACCTTCACAGGAAACAATGTGAACTCCTTCAGAATTACAAAACCATAAATGTCATAGACAGTTTATATGCTGTCTCCTCTAGCCTAAATACACTCATTTTTTGTTGCACAGAAGAAAGAAAAGAAACCCATGGAACACCTACGCATTGGAAACCTGGACATCATGCCAACTTTTTGAGAGGTTTTGCTTCAGGCCATCTAAGGGGGTTAATCCCAGTTTTCTCTTCAGTTCTCCACAATGTCTCTCTTTGGCAGCCAACACCTGGCGCAAAGTGCCGATTTCCTCTTCCACCTGCAAAAGAGGAATGAGGGTTAAAGGCCTCCTCGTGTTGTAGGAGCAAGCAAACAGCATTCAAACATGGAAGGTTATATGTAGCATCCTGGCCTCCCAAGAGGAAAGACAACTTAACACTTTTTTTTACACCCAAGGTATGTGTACATCAGACTCATTGCCATCCCAGGCACAACTGGTGAGGAAACAAAAGAGAGAAAGACTTCAAGATGCTCTAAAGTTCTGGATTTCCCTTTGGTACAAGGGCATGAGAATGCCTCTCTCTGTTTTCCAGCACAACCCATGGTCAGCTCCTGCCAGAGGTTTACGACTGAGTCATCCTTGAGGATCTACAAATGGCTAGAAAGTGTTCCAAGTCTTCTAGTACATGCTGGGACTCAGCCAGTAATTGAACCTGAGCCTATGCTTGAACCTGCAATTACGTTTCAGTCTCCTGATGTTTCTGTGTCTGATGTGGGTAATGAGGAGGGAAATCAGTCTCCTGTTGCTTCTGATGTGGGGGATGCTGGGTCTGACTCTGAGGTGCAAGATGGAGACACTTTGGTCAATAAGTTTCATGCAGACACTGACAGAGAGGCTTCAGTGCAAAGAGCAGATTCTCATGAGAATGTTTCTGTCAGGCCTTGGGAGAAAGGTTTACTCCCTCCGCCTGTGAGCTCTCCAGATTCTAGTTTGGAAAACAGTCTGACACCTGCTAAAGCTAATGAGAAGTCAGATAAGCAGAGTCAGTTAAGAATTTGTCAGTTAAAATCAAAGACTGGTGGAAAATGAAACCAGTTCTTGGGATTTAAGGTTTGCCCTTAGAAAATCTTGTCAGATCAGGCATCGTTTGGAAACCAAGCACAAGCCTCATGGAATTCCTGTTCAAATGATCTCGTCTTCAGGATTTTTTCTAGCCTTTCAAGTTGACTAGCAGCGTCTGGTCTGTTCTTGCTTCTTGTTTGATTCTTGTCTGGATAATCATTGCGTTGGATTGTATTTTCATGTTTTTTGGACATTGCTTTTGCTTGCTATGTTAGGACACTGTTTTATTTTGCTGTCTTTGAATGCCTTATTGATTTTGGAATCTTCTATCTGTACAAGCATTTATTTCTACTGGCATTTTTGCTAAGTTTTAATAAAAAGGATTGCTCCTTCATTCAACGTGTTGTGTGTTTTTAGTCAGAGGGGCTGCTTCCTGTGCTGAAGTGCAACAGTACAAATCTATGCCAAAAGCTGATGATAAGGTCACAATGGAGGACGTAAGAAATTTCCAGAAATAAGCACACCCACAAAAGTGAAGCCCACAGATGTGGAGAGATGATTAGATTATGTTTTCAAGTACAATCAACCTTCTGTATCCACATATTCAACCAATCATAGCTCCACAATATTTGAGAAAAAAAATCCAAAGAGAGAACTTTGATTTTGCCATTTGATAAATGGGATGCCATTTTGCTATGTCACTGTATATAACAGGAATTGAGCATCCACAGATTATGATATCCACATCGGGTCCTGTGACCACTCTATATAAAATCTAAAAAGCTGAATGTAACTTGGCTTTTTGTAATGTTGCTTTTAATTGTTCACCATAGTGGCAAAGTTGTGGGTAAATCAACTGTACACCTGCATATATCATGTTTTGATCAATGTAAAGATAGGTATTCTATTTCTGCCACTACACTGATCAACAACCCAGAATGCCTTTCTGTGTCTGATGTGGACAAGCATCTGGCTACTTCCATGTAGCTAGACAAAGAATGATTACATCATACACAGGGATGTAGCTAGATGCTTCTCTGATCCACCACCATTCTACAGTGGGTCCAAGGGTTAGAGAATAGCCAGCTATAGCAATACTATATTGTGGCCTGGATGTTTTGCTGTTGTAGCTCAGCAGCCAGGGGTTGATGATGGGTTCATGGCTGATTTAGAAGGGGTTGTGAGATTTCCTGGGGTTCAAAGTGATGCAGATTCAGGTCAGAGAAATGAAACCCTGAGCTCCAAGTCAATCATAGGAGTCAGAAACAACATCATTAGATAAGGAGTCTAACAAAGAAGAATTAAGTGAAACTGAAAACTCTCAAGGAAACGCATCTGGTGTTACGGAGATAAGCAAAAGTCTTCGTTTACAGTTTAGCGCAGAGAATCGGTTCTGTAGGTTTGAGAGAGTTTGCAGGAAAGAGATAGAAAAAATTGTGGGAAATGACATGATTTTATGAGTACTTATTAACAGCCAGTTGTTTACCTTTTAGTTCGTTCAAGCTTTCGAGTTAAAAGCTGAGTTCTTGTGTCAAGTCAAGTCCTGGTTTTGGATTCAAGTATCCTGGAAGGCTTCTATATTCTTGTTACATGAATCTTCCTCAAGTTTTTCTAAGTATACCTTTTGTTTATGGATTTATGCTGTGCTTGTGAGTTTTGGCTATCCCTTAACTTTGCTACCTTTGGATTTTTATGAGACATTTGGATTCCTATCTGGCTATCACCTATTGCTAAACCTTTTTTTGGATTATGCCTCTCCTTTCATATTTCCTGCTTTTTCATATATTTTATGTGTTTTTACAATCTGTTTGCTTATACTCTGGACTCTTTTGTGGTGTTGTGGTCATAGGTGACTCCAGGCCTGGGATGCAACATGTGCATTGAGAAGAAAAACTAGTGATTTGCAGCATTCGTTACTTAGGATTGCTATGGACACAGGAGAAAAGCCAGCCTTAGATGCCCATTTGTTCTTGTTGTTCATTCGTTCAGTCATTTCCGACTCTTCGTGACCTCATGGACCAGCCCACGCCAGAGCTCCCTGTCAGCCGTCACCTCCCCCAACTCCTTCAGAGTAGAGCCAGTCACTTCAAGGATCCCATCCATCCATCTTGCCCTTGTTCGACCCCTCTCCCTTTTTCTTTCCATTTTCCCCAGCATCATTGTCTTCTCTAAGCTTTCCTTTCTTCTCATGATGTGGCCAAAGTACTTCATCTTTGCCTCTCATATCCTTCCCTCCAATTAGCAGCCAGGCTTTATTTCCTGGAGTATGGACTGGTTGGATCTTCTCACGGTCCAAGGCACTCTCAGAACTTTCCTCCAACACCACAGTTCAAAAGCATCCATCTTCCTTCGCTCTCACATCCGTAGGTGACTACGGAGAATACCATTGCTTTAACTATGTGGATCTTCGTTGCCAGTGTGATCTCTCTACTCTTCACTATTTTATGGAGATTGGACATTGCTCTCCTCCCAAGAAGTAAGCATCTCCTGATTTCCTGGCTGCAGTCTGTGTCTGCAGTAATCTTTGCCATTATATTAGCATAAATGAAAGAAACACAAGCTAGCTCTGGATTACAGTGCTGGCAGATTTATTAAAAAGAAACCCAAGTAGCACAGCTGCCAGAATGCTATGCTACAATGCAGAAGTTCAATTCATGTCAGAGCTCAACCACAAAAATAGCTGTGTGCCGTAGGGTCAACATGCAAGTAAAAAACATGCAGCCCTGCAGCATGTTAGACTGCAATGGCTAGCATTCATCAGCAATGGCTATGCCAGCTAGAACTGCTGATACCGGAATAAGATTATGAAGCCTGCGTGATTCCCAAACCTGAGGTAACATCTCACATCTTGCCTCAAAGGGTTGCATTAAGGAGGAGAGGTAAACAGGAGAGGTCATATCTGACTTTAAACTGCTTTGTGGAAAAAGATAAGAGAGATGTACTGAAGGGGGATCTGGCTACTGCTGTTCCCTGTTTGTTGCTGTAACTGAACTGTTTATGGCAATCCAATGAATTAGATACCTCTAAAATTCCCTGTCCTCAAGAGCCCTGCTCAGGTCTTGCAGTCTCAAGAGTCATGGCCTCCTTCATTGAGTCTCTCCATTTGAAATTTGATCTTCCTTTTCTCTACTGCCTTCTACCTTTATCAAGCATTATTGTCTTTTCTTACTGTTAATGACTTCTCAGGAAGTGTCCAAAGCACAAAAGCCTGTATTTATTTATCTCACCTTCCAATTTAACACAACCAAGCGAAGAAAGAGCTCTAGAAACAAAAGACAAACTACACAGTTACACCAGAGGCTTCAGAGTATCGATCATAGTGCTCTTTTGTCCGTAGACTTACAGGAAGCAAATGTATTCAATTTCTTCATATCATGTTAACCAAATGGCGCATAAAGAGACCTGCAGAGTGGGAACACTTCTTTACCTTGGCCAGCTCAGATCTTAATTCTTCTTCCTCTGCCTCAGTGAGCCCGTTGTAGGCAGAGGCCCTCAATGGAGGGGGAGCAGCGGCAGCAGCGCTTGTGTTGTCGACAGGCACGTCCGTCATTGTATCAGCCAGCAGACCTTTGTTGGGAGAGTTAAGGTTGATATCTGTCATGGACAAGAAGCAAAGCAGGGGAAGAGGGTAAGCAGTTAAAACAGGCAAAGCATGTTAGTTTAGATTGCAAATACTCTCTCCATTGAGATGACGCTGGCAAAGAAAACAGGGACAGAGCATTCGAAATAGGTTTTACCCAGGAGGCCTGGAGGAGTTGATTTGCATATCAAAAGCTACAGACAAGTCAGAGGCCCACAAGCAACTCATCAACAAGCTCAAGACAACAGCTATACACTACCAGCTGTCCCAAGAGGCAAAGAAACTCTCTGGCTGACTCATTCAGGAGGGGAGCTTATCAAAATTTAGAAAACACTCTTGTCTCAGACTATCTCCTTTACTTCAGTTGTACATTAACCCTCGGCACACTATTAACTATTTTTAAATTGCTCTTGGATTATTTTATACTATGTTTTTAGCTTGCACTTTTAGATTTTGGTTTTAAATTGCACTTTGTTTGACTTAGGGAGGTGAATATTAAAGAGTATATAAACAATGAGAATTAAACAAAAGATAGCAACAAACAATCCAGGTATATTTTAAACAGAAATGAAAGGAAGCTTTGCCAGAGTCAAAACCAATCCTGAAACCCTGAAAATTGTATCTGGATGTATAAATGGTATCTACATGCATTCTGCTTTTCACAGGGGTTCGTTTGTTTTGCAGCTCTATATCTAAAAAGAAATAAAGTGTAATCTAGCGGTTGCGGTAGTGCAACAGGTTAAACCACTAGCAGTTCAAAGCTCCCGGGTGAGCTCTCGGTTGTCAACCCTAGTTTCTGCCTACCTAGCACTTTGGAAAGCACGTAATGCAAGTAGATCAATAGGTACTGCCTTGGAAGGGAGGTAAAAAGGTGCCTCATGCAGACATGCTGGCAACACAATCGGAGAAGTCTATGGACAACAGGCTCCTCAGCATGGAAAAATGGAACAAGAGCACCTTCCCACGGCCGTAGTTGAGCATCACCTCCAGACGCCAGAAATGGAAGGGGAAGGCCTTTAGCTCTATCTGTATATTGTATGTCGTTTACTGTGTAAAAAGGATTTGAATGTTTGCCTTATATAAGTAAAACTGTAATCTGCTCATGAATATATAAATAAAGTGTATTACTTTAAATCCCTGCTTAAGACATGGATACCCAGCCTCAGAATTCCACGGAAAGCTCTCACTAAACAAATCTTGCCAAGAAAACTCCAAAATAGGTTCACCTTAAGATCGCCATAAGTCAGAAACAACTTGAAGGCACACAATAATATGTATTAAAAATACCAGAGAAGCGGTTTGCAAGGGTGATACTTAACAGCCTTTATGCTTCCTTATATCACACCACCCAGAAGCTTTAAAGCCAGTATGATTAATTTTGTGTAATCTACACTGGAAATGGGACAGAAATATGACGGCAGTGCCGCCTTCTCTGGTTTATTGTTTTAATAGAGCTAAAGCAAATAGCTACTGGCTACCCTGATCCTTGAAAGGTAAGGGAGGTTTTTTGATTAGTTACTGAATGCAGGCTCCAGGAAGGGAGCCAGAGGAAAAAAAGGACACCAAAGACAGATGATGTGGCTAAAGTTTCAAAATTGCAGGGGAATACACATCTACATTCAGCTCCAAAGTTCACTGAGAGGCATTAACCAAGTTGCTATCTCTTCCCTCAGCTTACTTCACAATTTTATCAAGACTATGAATTGTTTGTCCTTCCTTTGAAGGCAAGCACAATAGAAGCACAATACATGGATACATTAACTGCAAAATCTCACAGTGGGAGTGCTAGCTATATTCCAAGGAGAAGACTTGAATGAGAAATTGAGTAGGCAGGCTTCTAGCAGGGGGACAACCGATGCTCCAGAGCAGGGGTCCTCAAACTAAGGCCCGGGGGCTGGAGACGGCCCTCCAAGGTCATTTACCCAGCCCTCGCTCAGGATCAACCAAAGTCTGAAACGACTTTATATTTATTTATTCTATTTGTCGTGTCAGGGCAACCAGTCAATTATATTACATTTCTAACAGAACAAAGCAAACAAACAAACAGACAAAGTACAAAATTTGTGAGTTTGGTAGTTGATTAAATGTCCTTTGACCAGTATCTGGCCACTTGGAGTGCTTCTGGTGTTGCTGCAAGAAGGTCCTCCATTGTGCATGTGGCAGGGCTCAGGTTGCATTGCCGCAGGTGGTCAGTGGTTTGCTCTTCTCCACACTCGCATGTCGTGGATTCCACTTTGTAGCCCCATTTCTTAAGGTTGGCTCTGCATCTCGTGGTGCCAGAGCGCAGTCTGTTCAGCGCCTTCCAAGTCGCCCAGTTTTCTGTGTGCCCAGGAGGGAGTCTCCAATTTGGTACCACTGGTTGAGGTTCTGGGTTTGAGCCTGCCACTTTTGGACTCTCGCTTGCTGAGGTGTTCCAGCGAGTGTCTCTGTAGATCTTAGAAAACTATTTCTAGATTTAAGACGTTGACGTGCTGGCTGATACCCAAACAGGGGATGAGCTGGAGATGTCTCTGCCTTGGTCCTTTCACTATTGGCTGCTACTTCCCGGCGGATGTCAGGTGGTGCAATACCGACTAAGCAGTGTAATTTCTCCAGTGGTGTAGGGCGCAGACACCCTGTGATAATGCGGCATGTCTCATTAAGAGCCACATCCACTGTTTTAGTGTGGTGAGATGTGTTCCACACTGGGCATGCATACTCAGCAGCAGAGTAGCATAGCGCAAGGGCAGATGTCTTCACTGTGTCTGGTTGTGATCCCCAGGTTGTGCCAGTCAGCGTTCGTATGATATTGTTTCTAGCACCCACTTTTTGCTTGATGTTCAGGCAGTGCTTCTTGTAGGTAAGAGCACGGTCCAGAGTGACTCCCAGGTATTTGGGTGTGCTGCAATGCTCCAGTGGGATTCCTTCCCAGGTCATCCTCAGTGCTCGGGATGCTTGTCTGTTCTTAAGGTGAAAGGCACATGTCTGTGTTTTAGATGGGTTGGGGATCAGCTGGTTTTCTCTGTAATAGGTGGTAAGAGCGCCTAGAGCTTCGGAGAGCTTCTGTTCTACCATCTCAAAGTTCCCTGCTTGAGCGGTGATGGCACGATCATCAGCATAGATGAAACTCTCTGTCCCTTCTGGCAGTGGCTGGTCATTTGTGTACATGTTGAACATGGATGGAGCAAGCACGCTCCCCTGAGGCAGGCCGTTCTTCTGTTTCCGCCATCTGCTTCCCTTATCCGCCTGACCAGCATGAAACGACTTGAATGCACACAACAAAAACAGTCCTATCTCATCAGCCAAAAGAAGGACCACACTTCCCATTGAAATACTAAGAAGTTTATATCTGGTAAAATTGTTCTTGATTTTAATTATTGTATTATTTTAAGTGCTTTTTGCACTACAAATAAGATATATGCAATGTGCATAGGAATTCATTATTGTTTTTGTTTTGTTTTTGTTTTGTTCAAATTATAATCTGGCCCCCCAGCAGTTTGAGGGACTGTGACCTGGCCCTCTGTTTAAAAAGTTTGAGGACCCCTGCCCCAGAGGTTTTGAACTTCAATTTGTAGATGTCTGAGCCAATACAGCCAGTGATAAGGGATTATGGAAGCTGCAGTCCAAAACATCTGGAGAAACAAAGGTCCCTCACTCTATTCTAGGACTGTTCCAATGCTATGGCTCTAGGCCATGCGGAAAATTGCAACAGCAGTATCAAGGGATTACCAACAGCCTATTTTAAATTGGAATGAACTTGGAGGACTTTTGACCTCTTTCTCATTTCAAAAGACTGTCTCTCATACACACACACACACACACACACACTGAAAAACCCTGCAGAGGTAGCTTTCCAAATGGGAGTGCATGCTAACACATGGAAACACGCAACCCAGTTAGTTAGCAAGCAAAACATCACCACGCCCTTGGTGGTTGTGTCCCATTTTTAGCAGCAGGCAAGACTCAGGAGGCTAGCGGAAGAAGAGCATATATTACAAAATAATGCAGTTGCTTGAGAAAGAGAGGAACATTCACATAGCGTGGTCTGGAAAGCATCAAAGGCAAACCTCTAATGAAATATGAAAGGAGAGAATCTAGAGCAGCCCAAAGCTACAATTCTTTGATCTCGCCACTTCTTAACATTATCACGGGTGGCTCCCATAACTAAGCCCTCCCCAACAGATTCAACCTCCCACAACTACACCATAGGCCTCCATTCCCCTTGGCAAGGCTTCTTGGGGTTCACTAGTTATGGGGTAGGAGAAGATCAAAGTCTTGATGCTACCCACTCCTTGGGGCATTCTGTCATCATGCAGCATCTCCCAACAATTACTTTGCAGCCAATTCACAGTCACTGTATTGAATATAATTTCCCACTTCACTCTTAAAGTGGCTGTCAAGTTCAAAAACTCACCAATCTCCAAATACATCTAATAGTTTCTATGGACACCATATGTCAGGATTAATACAGAGATTCCTAAATAATCTTTCCCTTGAATTTTCTTCGTGTTCCCCCCTAAATTCTCCTACAATTTACAATGTTCACGATGGGCATCTCTTGGTTCTAGCATCCTTCACTTTGAACTTCTAACCCACTACTCTTGAATTTCATCCAGCATGATTCACATTGCCTTCTTCTAACCTATTACCCCAACACAAACTCCTAGCCTCCTTCCAGGATTTTCATTTTATGGCTCCACAGCAGCATATTCTGGAATCTCTGCCACGCCTGGATGTCCTGCAAATTTCTCCAAACAGCTACCCAGTCACAGCTGCCATCACCATTCTCCAGGCTCTGAGCCAACTCTCACACAAGAAACTCCCAAATGTTAAATAACATCCCTCACCACAGATATGACTCGGCCTTCCCATCAGACACCCAACATCCTGTCTCTAGAAGTTCCTGAGGTTTTCTTAGGCAGGGAATACAGTTTTACCAGTTCCTTCCTTTGAAATCCATCATACAGAAACTGGTATTCATTGGCAGTCTCTCATCCAAGGCTGACTCTGGCCCCGTCTACACTGCCATATAATC